CTGGAAAAGGTGGCACCGTAAGTGGAGTCGCTAGCAATGTCGAATGGTGCAGTGGAGCTGCAAGTGTGATGGTTTAGTTAAAGAATGAGATGTGGAAAAAACCCTTGCGTTTGTTCAGCAATTAAAAAGATTTGTTTATTAACTTGGCAAACACCTTTTTGAAGAGCAGTCGCGTTTTCAGTTAAATGTGCTGAAATTGAGTCATAACTTGTAAGTGCTTAATATTAACGAAATTAGATGTCTCTTTTTGCATTCAAAATTAGGGCACTTCTTAACAATTGATATTAACGATTGAACCCATACTAACACAATTACAAATTGAACAAACACCAACTCCTCTTACATAGAACCCTCCTTTGTTTCGATTAATCATTATCTTCCCAACATGTTGTGCCATACTTTTCCCCAAAAAAATTGTGTATTGTGTGTCGACATCCATGTAATTTAAGGGTGTTCTTTCTTCTCTAATTTATTTCAATTGATAAAGAAATACTTTCTTCTTGATTTCTAGTTTAGTGCATAGAGGATAACTATCTTTCATAAATTGTCAATATAGTTCTTTGATAAATAAAATTTCTTTTCTTGTGTAAATATCTCCAATGTTTAAAGGTATAGAAGTTGGGGCGGCTACAGATTTATAATGATTGGATTGCTTGAGATGTATATTATACTTGATCATTATTGGCATAATAATATTACATTGCTGTGCCCCTTTTGATACATAATCAAATTATAGTTTGTCCCATCTAAAATTTTACCTTACAGTTATAACTGGTGGTGGATCATGCTTTTAACTATTTTTCGTTCATTAAGTGTAATTCATATTTCAGTTATCATATGGTAAATTATTGTTGCTATGTTATTGAGACCGAAGAAGTTTCCCTTTCATGGTTTTGGGAAAGATAGGGAAAGGGAATTGCTTTGAGTGGTGTACTTTATAAATTATTATGTCTTTCTTATTTTCTTATAACAATAACATCTAATTTCAGTAACATGTGCTGTGTTACTTTCTACACAACGTACACGCATGTGTTTTCAACACTGCTTGGCATTTCATAGCTTTGAGTGGTGCACTTTATTGCATATTTACTTGATTTATTTCCAATACTAATGTGCTGTTGTAAAAACTAATTATATCACTTTGATGACAGGTTAAACAGGTGGACTGTTATACAGTTACCCTTCACGAGCTAGAGTCTGTTTCCACTAGATTCAAGTTTACATCAATGATGCGAGGTAAAATCCCTATTTCCCATTTTCATTCTCTTAGAAAGGATATTTTAGGTAGACTCTATATATATTTTACTAAGCGTGTATGTTCACAGCACCAGTACTTTCCCTCTCTCCGAAAGGCATTTTTCCTCGCTCTAGATTATTTCATTTCCATGTAAAGATCATTTCCTTCACTAGCACTATAAAGATCATTTCCTTCACTAGCACTATATTACTTTTATTGAGTTTTATATTTTATAGTTGAATTTGCATATGAATGCAAGACCCAACATTTTTCCTCCCCAACAAGTTTTGAGATTCTAGGAATGAAATTTTCTAACAGAATTCATATACTTTCTTTTGAATTCCAGCACCATTTCATGGGTTCGCTTTCTGGTTTGATGTGGAGTTTGGTATACCTGTGAAATACCCTTCCAATAACAATACAAGAACTGCCTTTGTCGAGTCTCCTAATAATCAGAATACAGATGGTACTCAAAGAAAGAAGCGGGCCAATCCCAATGATGCCCTTGTATTGTCTACAGCACCTGAGGATCCTCCAACTCATTGGCAACAGGTGTCTTGCACATGTACATTTAATGGCTTGGCTTGAGCTTAAGCTTGAGCTTGAGGAGTTGTGTATAGACACATGCTTTAACTTTTTCTTTTGAATAACACTTGCTTCCTCTAACTGATCTTGAAGCTGGCAGCCTAATTCTATCCTAGGTTGTAAAAGAGTTTTAGAAACTTAAGGTAGTATTTAAGCAAGTGGTATTTTGGGGTAAAAGGTAGACTGGAATCTTGGATATGTAAGATTACGTCTACACTAGCATATAGTCATTTACAACTAGTTAAGCCTTATTCTGAATAAGCATGGGTCAACTACAATGTATTTTCTATTCTATTTAAATCCTTCCTTGTGCAATTTAAAGGTTAACATTCGGACTAGTAATTTTTTCAATAAGTATCAACTTTCACTCGTGTCAGGCTTTGCATAGTAGTTGAATTTCACATTTGTCGTCTTTGTCGCCGGTCCTTGAAATTGTATCGAAACCTTTTGATATGACATGAATATGGAAATTGCCAAATTGGATTCCCTGGGTATCTTTTCTCGTAAATCATATTTCCATGCTTTAATTGTTTTGCCTAATTCCCTATTTTTCATCCTTTCAATTCTATTTGGAATTATTCCATCCCTTGCAGAATTAAAGTGTTCCTTCAATGGTTTGTCAGACAAATTAATACTTGTGATATGGTCCAAGGGTGATATCCGTACTTTTCTCTCCCATCATGGTTACTAATGTGTAGAAAGACTCGGAATGCAATGAATTTTTTTTTTAATTGGTGATATTGCAAGATTGCTGTGGTCCAGGTTTCTTCGGGAATCTGGTTTCAATTAGGTTTTCTCAAGTAGTTGTAATGAATCACCTTTGCTGCTGAAGAGTTGACGGTTGTCTGTATCTCATCCTCGTTGATTTTCTCGCATTTTTGGCTGTCTCTCGCTCTTAAGCAAAGTTTTCGTGTAATCTTTGTTCATTCCTTTTTCTTTCCATGGATTTTGCAGACATTGATCTACTTCTATGATCCAATAGAGGTGGAGCAAGATCAAGTTATTGAAGGTTCTGTAACATTGTCACAAAGCAAAGAAAATCCTCGGTTCATGAATATTCATCTAGAATATGCGTAAGTGAATCTCTTGTTTCATTTTACAAAGATTGATTTGTTCACTTCCATGTATGCTCATGGTGATTTTCAACTCCAAGCAGATCAAACGGCCGTTATTTTGTCAAAGAATCTGTTATGCGATGAGAGAGGAAGTGATTTACCTTCGAGCTCACGTGCAATGTGATGCTATTGGGTCAGACCCGGATCCATATAGTAGCTCTGGTGCAATTGTTTTCGCAGATTCTGCGTCTTCACCGATCTGCTCGTGTAAAAGCTTCTGAATCCCTTCGTCTTAAAAAGACATTATAATTTAATTTTGTTAGATGCATCTATAGGCTTAAATGTTGAAAAACCTCAAGATGTTATTTTTTGTAATTTTCCCGAGCAGTATTCCTTTTTATTTTCTCCTTTCTCTTATTGTAATCCAATGTGAGTTATTTGTGTAGAATAGAATTAGAAGTACTATAGAGGTGAAATCGATGGCAGCTATGCATTTTGAAGTTGCTATTGGTGAATTTTTTGAAATAGAATTGATTGTTGTCATTGTTTTGGTGATGCATTCATTTTGCTTGATATTGGGGGTGTCTCTTACGTTTTTTAATTTTTTTTAAGTGATGGTATAATAGTCATTTTAAAGAAAATTTGAATCTGTAACGATCAAAGTAACGAATTCCAATCTGTGGCAAGTATGTGTCCTTGGTTGCAGCTGCAGCCTGTTCAATTTTGAACAGGTACTTTTTGGTCCCTTTTCACTTCAAACTCGGTTAATCTAAATTTGAATTGTTGTGACCCTAATGAAAGATACAACTCTTGGAAATTATAAGTATTAACTATTCTAATATAATGCCATTACGAGTATTAACTATTCTAATGCCTAGAATAATGTCATCAATTCCCATGTCTTTCATCGTATTATTATTTTTTCCATACCATAACCAAAAATAAGCTTAACATCAACAAACAAACAAATAACGATGCCTTTACCATCACAAAATTTGGTATAGACACATTTGTCGTATTCATGCATTTTTTTAGAAAAAAACCTATTTGATAGCACTATCCTGTCAAATTTATCATACAATGACTTTAGTACTTGCTTAAATTCGTAAAGAGACTTAACGAGCTTACACACTAATTAAGGTTGTTCCATATACATTTCTTCTTCTGATTCACCATTTAAAACACAATTGTAATGTCCATTTAATGAATTTTAAGTTTATGTATCGATGCAAAAGTGATGATTCCTAATTGGGCAGTTCTAGCAACATAATCACGACTCTTTTACTATGTTCTTTGGTTACTAGTCTTTCTTCGAACTTGTCTATGGTTCCTAGCCTCTTCGTATGTCTATGGATCACAATCTGTGTCTAAGGCCACTAAGGTTTGATTGGTATGATTTTCTCTAGTACCTTCAACAAGGTTATAAAAAATTGGTAAAGTGTCTTATGGTTAATTTTGTTTGGAAGTCACCCAACTTTGAGAAAAATTTCGACTGGGTCACCCAGTGTTAAAAGTCTCAATCAACTCCACAAACTTTGTTATTACTTCAATTCATTTCACTCTATTAGTTGACGTCGCTAAAATTCGGGCTTGCTTGCATGAATGTTAATATCTGATTGTATGTCGACATGGATGAAGTTGCTTTTAACGTCTAATGCTAACCAATAGAGTGATATGAACTGAAATAATCGTGAAGTTTGATAACTTGATTGAGATTTTCTAAAATGGGCGATGTCCCGTAAAATTTACCCTACTTTGCTGGAATTAGGCTCATCTCCTTGTTATCCGCTAATCTATGCATATGAAATTTCATGGATGGCAAGAATTTGAGATAAAAGCAGCTCCACAATTTATGGATTAATCATTCACTTCAAAAGTTGGCTGTGTATATAATCTCAACCTTCTTCGAAGAAAAAGTAAGCCAAAAAAAGGAGAATAAGCCAGTTGGGATACGTACTTACATTGTTATGCTAATGTAGCTGCGTAAGAATCGTCGAGCAAAAAAAGAAAAAGAGGATCTAAAGGTCTCTCCGAAGATAAATCGAAGAAAATATTCGATTCAATTGTAAAAGTTTTTGAAAAGATTTTGTTATCAGAAAGCTAGTTAGTAGTTTGACATTAAGATGGCAGGAGGAGGTTTTGTTTCTTCTGGTCAAGTAGGAAACTACGAAGGCCGTGTAACCGGCTTCGTGATCATTGCGTGCTTGGTGGCTGCTACCGGTGGCCTCATTTTCGGCTATGATATTGGGATCTCGGGAGGTGTTACATCGATGGATGAATTCCTTGAAAAGTTCTTTCCCCAAGTGTACAAAAAGATGAAAAATGATTCCGGGGACAGTAATCAGTATTGCAAATTCCAAAATCACTTGCTAACGCTATTCACGTCATCACTTTACCTTGCAGCACTTATCGCTTCCTTTTTTGCTTCTGCGACCACAAGAGCTTTAGGCCGAAAGGTCTCCATGACCATTGGAGGTGTAATCTTTCTTATTGGCGCTCTACTAAATGGTGCTGCTCAAAATATCCTAATGCTTATCATTGGCCGTATCTTGCTAGGTATTGGCATTGGATATGCAAACCAGGTGCGTGCGATGTTTTTTCATACATCATTAATTAGTTAATTTGATGAATTTATCATCTCAACCAGTTAGGTCCATCAGAAGTTAAGTGTGCTTGGACGATAGTACTGGAAAGTCTTGACTAATTTGATTAATTTGCTTTCTCTATCTAAATATTTGATGCAGTCCGTTCCCGTGTACTTATCGGAGATGGCACCACCGAAACTAAGAGGAGCGCTCAACATCGGTTTCCAAATGGCGACGACCATTGGCATTTTTGGTGCGAATCTCATAAACTATGGCACAGCAAAAATGCAGCATAATGGGTGGAGAGTTTCCTTGGGTCTGGCTGGTGTACCAGCAGTAATTATGACTGTTGGATCAATCTTCTTACCAGACACTCCCAATTCCCTGATCGAGAGAGGCAAAAATGAGAAGGCTAGAGAAATGTTGCAGAAAATCCGTGGCACGCCCAATGTGGACGAAGAGTACAACGATCTGTTGGATGCAAGTGAAGCTGCAAAGGAAGTCGAGCATCCATGGAGAAATATCATGGAACGAAAGTACCGGCCTCAGCTCGTCATTACCTGCCTCATCCCATTCTTCCAACAACTCACAGGAATAAATGTTATTATGTTTTATGCCCCAGTTCTTTTCAAAACTTTAGGATTTGGTGACGACGCTGCTCTAATGTCAGCAGTCGTATCAGGCCTTGTCAATGTATTTGCAACTACAGTCTCAATCTTCAGCGTAGACAGGTTTGGTAGGAGAGCCTTGTTCCTTGAAGGTGGACTTCAGATGATCATTGCCCAGGTATGTGCATACATAATGTGTATATAAAGAGAATTTCGATTATTAAGTCTTTGATCAATGTGTATACATATGAAGATTGGCGTTGGAGTCTTGATTGGTTCGGTGTTTGGAGTATCGGGCGAGGGAAGCTTCAGCAAAGGCCTCGGCAATCTTGCGCTGATTTTGATATGTGTCTACGTAGCTGCATTCGCGTGGTCTTGGGGACCATTGGGTTGGTTAGTGCCAAGTGAAATATTTCCATTGGAAATCAGGTCGGCAGGGCAGTCGATCAACGTCTCAATTAACATGTTTTTCACATTCATCATCGCCCAGCTCTTCCTTTCCATGCTTTGCCACATGAAATTCGGTCTCTTCTTCTTCTTCGGGGGATGGGTCGTGATAATGACAACTTTCGTCTACTTTTTCGTGCCTGAGACGAAGAATGTCCCCATTGAGGAAATGAACAGAGTATGGAAGAATCACTGGTTCTGGGGACAATACATTCCAGATGATGCTGTTGGTCTTGCCAATCATCATCACAAAGTCGAGGTTTAGGGACATACATTTTCTCTGTGTGCTTAAGTTAACTAGTAAGACGATCCATGGATGCTGGAATTTTCTTTTAGTTGATCAAGAAGAGTTCATTAATTAGGCAGTGTATAAAGAAAAACAGTAAGGCAACTGAAAAGGGATTTGTGTATACCTTTTTCTTTGTACACTTTGCTCAATTTCGATTACAATAATGCAAAAATAGTGCACACATTTTTCCTACCATTTCCTCTTCTTCTTCTTCTTTACAGATTATCATTATCCTATCCTATTATATATATCAATAAGTCTATTTGTACATAAGAGGTTGAAAACCTCTCACATGCGTGCGGGTTCGCATGATTAAAAAAAAAAAAGTAGACCCCTGCATTGTGAGTGTATGTCAACCTGTGTGTCAACATTTAACTGTACAAATAGCATTGCTATATATATATATATACTAGGTGTAAGCAACGTGCAATGCACGTTTGCTTAGTTTATATTTAATAATTTTGTTTAAGAATTAATTTGTTGTTCATTTATTTTCTCTTCCTCCATTGTGAGTGTATGTCAACCTGTGTGCCAACATTTGACTGTACAAACACACATACTTGGCTTTCACACTTTATGAGACAATATCAAGAAATGTCCTTCATAGGACATGAAACGTTGAAAAAACAAATACCCTATATCCAAATCTTATAACTATTGTATGAGACCTGAGAACGCATCATGGGAAATAGTTGTTATTCATTCACATTGCACGAGCTTCGGAAGCGTAGATGCAATCATAGACAAAAGCTCGGTGTTATTAGAAAAAACACCATTGAATATGAAAAACAAAGAGTTCCTTCGATCTCTGATACTAAAGATGTCAAGGACCTATCCTTACCTATCGAAAAGGAGGAGGAGATCATCAGAAGACCTGCCTAACCTGACCAAAAAACAAAGAAAGATATCAAGCTAGAGTTTCATTTACAAAGCAAAAAATCAACAAGGAACAAAAAATTGATGTTAATCTCGAATTTTTAAAAATCTCAAATTTTGATGATGTAATTCATACAAAATACTTCGTCCCATCTTAAATCGGATTGATCGCCTAGGAAAAATAATTAAAAAATCTAATAGGAAAATAGAATTATCATCACACCTTTTATTATACACTAATTTTATATAGTAGTCGTATGGATTGAAACTCCTCGTGTATGTGAGAAAAAAAATTAGTATTTCTTTTATACGTCAAAGGTCTTAGAAAACTATGGATTCATTGAAACATTTTTGAGCAAATTTCACAATGGACATAGCAAAGTGATAAAAAAAATCGGTATAATCAACCTCAAATTTATTGAGAAAGAGACTCGATTAAAAGTGAAATTTCATTGATTTAATTAATTGTTATTAGAACTATTAAAAGAATTAAAAAATCATTTTGAACAACAAAAGTTGATTATTTAAGTTCAACAATTGATTTTTTTCAGTAAGCTTACAATGAGTAATAAAAAATGGAACTAAAGAATAATCATAATTATAAACATTAAAATGTCTTTTCAAGGTTGAAATATGGATTTAAAAAAAAAAAAAAAGAGTCAAACAATTGGAAAAGAAAATTTCATTATCCTAATAAAATATTTTCTCCAAAAATTAAAAAGAATAACTTCAAAACCCAACTTGGCGAGGCGAGGTCGTGCCCCTGGCCAATTTAATTGTTTCCAACTTCAAGGGTATTTTGGATACTTCACAATGCACGACTTCAAAGGCATATTGGAGGTTAGGTAGTAATCTAGGTCAAACGTAAGAGAATTTCATACCGCGCATAATGGACTAATTCCATGTTTGGACCACATTAAAATTTTTATTATCATTGTTTTACTCATTTTCAACCACACATTCTTCAATAAAATAATATTTTCCATCACATCAACAACGTTTCCTTCTTTTTTAACCACACATTCTTCAATAAAATAATATTTTCCATCACATCAACAACGTTTCTTCTTTTTTAACCACACATTCTTCATCAATATACTATTCCAAAATACGTTCTTCCAAAATAATGTGACTCAAACACACCCTAAATCCATTGTGGCCTTGTGAATTCTTTAATTAATTAATTGTTCGTTTTTGTTTAATTATTATTTTTTGGGTTGATATCGTGTTATTCTTCTACTTCATTTCGATAATTGATCACCATTAGATTGTGTTTATGGACAGATAGTTGATTAATCGAATGACTTTTAAGAGATGGTTGATAGTGTTTGTTAAGAGGCAATCGACTAACCGATCGTCTCTTAATCGACGATTTTTAACTGATAAAGAATGGTTTGTCAACTAATCGACCACTTTTTAACATGCGACGGAGCATGGAGTGGGCTTTTTATTATTTGTGAACCAAACATGGCTCAATCAATCATCCCCAAATCAATTTTTTTCAAATAAAGCCAACGCTCCATTCAAATTTTGCCCATCTCCATCTCTCACATCGAATATCCGCTCCTATTTGATAAGCAACACTGAATAATTCAGATTAGATTCTGAGGATTTTGATGGAGAGCCCAAATTCGAAAGCTAACACTAATAATACTTGCGAACAAGAAGATCTTACACTTAACCCCAGGACGGGGATTAATGATAATATCGGTAATACTTCTACAAACGACGTTGTAATCAATAGTAATGACGTTGCTGAGAACAATCGGCGTCAGAGAACTTCATTTACGGACCTCAGTCAGGTCGATGCCGATCATGCCCTTGCCCGCACCCTCCAAGAACAGGTTTTTTTTTTCCCTGAATTCTTGATCAGGGTTTTTTGTTATTGTAAAAGAATATGGTACCAAAATATATTTTGAGAACTAAAGGATTAAAAAGGAGACATGTGGAATAAGCGTTGGTAATTGTGCTGTTGATACAGATTTATGTCCCGCGTTTTGTCTTCTTATTCATAAATGGATTGACAAGATTTTTAAATTAGTTGCATTGAGATAAAATTAGGATTTTTTTTTTTAAAGTTAGTTTGTTTAAATATGTGATTCTATACTGTTAGATGCATTATTTTGGTTCAATATTACCCTAAGATGAATGAAATACACATGACTTGGTATACTTAGCTGGTAGCTCCTATTATCGTTTCACGAGAAAATGACTTTATTATCTGTATTCTGAGCCATCATAACTATTACTATAAGGTGTAACTTTTGTATCAAGTATTTTATTGTTTTTATTGGTACCTAATATCAGAAGGATGAAAAGGGACCGACTTGGGGATTAAGCATTACTGCATTAGTAGTTGTTGTCATTGTTACCAAAACGTGACCCACTAATCAAAAGCTTCTTCAAGGTGTTGAGCTTTTGCAGCCCGACTTAAAGTTAATCATGGTTTATTGCAAGTAAACTTATTTTCTTATTGTTCTTGTGCTATTTAAGACAAATTTATGTCCATTGTTTTGTCGTCTTACGCGTAAATCAATGAACAAGATTTTGTGATTGGGTTGTTTTGTTGAGATAGATTTGGGATGCTTTTTGAAATTCAGTTTTTTTAAATACACGATTCTATGCTGTTAGATGTTTCGCTTCCATTCAATATTACCATAATTTGAATGAAATGCACATGGTTTGGTATGCAAAACTCCTATAATTACAGGAAAATATCTTTACATATCAGTATTCTGATTCATTATAAACGTATTCAATAATTCACACCCCCCCCCCCCCCCCCCCCCGGAAATTAAGCCCCTATTTGGTTTAGCTAAAATCAGATTTAAATAGAATTTGATAAAAAATGATGAAATATGGTTGAAAAGCTTAAAAAAAAATATTAGGTCCACGAAATGTGGTTGAAAATGAGTTTTAGAAAAATGGCGCCAATCACAGGCTAAATGTCTTTTTTTCTGTGCCATAGGAAAGGGCATACGTGATGCTGAGAATGCATGGTGGCAGTGATTACGGAAGTTGGGAAGCTGGGAGTCATGTTCACGATGAAGACGACGACGACGACGCCGACAATTTTGATGATGCCAGTGAAGAGGATTACGATGACACCGATCTTGAGGTAGATGATGATGCAGAAGATGCATTTGATGTGCATGCTCACTCTGAAGGAGGTGAGGATGAGAATCAAGCTGTTGAACTTGACCCTTCAGCTTTTTCAAGCGACGAGGCCTACGCCAGGGCCTTACAAGATGCTGAAGAACGGGAATTGGCAGCTAGATTGTTAGCTATAGCTGGAATTAGTGAAAGTGAGTTTCTAAACTGACCATTTTGTCCTAGTTCTTGTTTTGTTAGTTTTCCCTTAATTGATCTGCGAGAACTATGTGATGATTGGCAAAGCTCTAATGATTATATAGTGATTGTTGGGGAAGGCGAGGATGAAGAGGAGGATCATGGTGATAATTCTCAGGTCTGTTTTCATTGAACTCTGGATATAAATTTTTTCGAACTTTTCTAGTCATGGTCATATTTTGAGATTCTAAATCTTTTTTTCTGAATGAAAAGAAAAAGGTTTTCTTCAGTTGGACAATTGTTAAAAACTTGAATCGCTTTAGAAAGCTTGGAATAGTATATTGCTCTCAGTTCACCCAACTGACAAATATATAATCTTCGATCTTGAAGTCACTAATGGTTGGTTTAAATTCTTCGCACTACATTTTATGCCCCCTTTTTACTTAGAAACATAATATATTGCCTTCATAAAAAAATACTAACCAATATTACACCCAAATTCACCATGAATGAATTATACACCCTGCCCACCCTTTTTGTTTTTTTGGCAGGCTGCCCTTTTGGAAATACCTGTACTACCCTCCCCTAACTACAAATAGATGAAGTAATCTGCTTGGAGGCTTATCAGTATCCCGCTCTTGAAATTCACCTTGGCCTCAAGGTGAAATTCCGGGCCAATTATAGATTATGAATTCTGTACAGGTGGACATTATTTTTGCAAAAAAATCACGATTCAACGAGAAATGAATCTTTCGGCCCAAATAAGTGGCTGGATTTATGAAAGCACCTACTATCATTAGTATGGTGTCAAAGAAAACTCCGTTGCCGGTTGCAATCACTCGTGGGTTTTTCCATAGGTCCCTAACAACCAAAATAATATTGTGGGTAACCCCCCATAGTCAATTAACTCCATTATAGCGCATTGGCCAATCTGTCTTGGGAGTTTCATTTTGGTTTTTGTGTCCGACCACAAACTTGAAGGGAAATTGCTGTGTTTCACCAACCCCACATTCCTCAATGTCGCCTTTTTCCACCTCGTTAAGGTCTAGTTCCTCCAAATTATTATTTACCACCTGCACTGGCAACTCTTTTTTTTTTGCAATTATGGCTCACAAAATTTGCTTGGTCACCCTGAAAGCAAATCCCATTTTCCATCTTCTCTGAGATTCTAGAAGGTAGAAGGATTTGGTCAATCCAAAACTTTGGTGACCACTTGTGCAAATTTTTGACTGAAAGAATTAAGTTTGGAGTGTTTACCGTGAGTGGGCAGTTTTCTCCTGTTGGGACTTTTCTCCATGGATCTGTTCAATTGATTTTTTTGAAATTTCCTCGTGATGGCCCATTGCTGAATGGATTTTAGTCCACAAATCTCAGCCCTAATGTCCAAGCTTTCTGGCGATTCCAGATGCTTGCTATGAATATACCATCCCCATAACTGCAGGAATGGTTATGATATGACAGATTGGTTAGATGAAGGTTTATACGTTGATGTGACAATTATTTTTTCCCCCTTATTATTCAACCCATTCTCTTTGTTTTAGTTAGCTCTTCCTTTCTAATAGAAAAAGGAGAGATATTGCTATACTACCATTTTACCTTCATATCATGAATGATTATATTGTATCGGGGGTTGTGGATGTTTCATCCAAACTTTCCTATAACCCCTGCAAAATGGTGAAGTTTGTAGATATTGATTAGGAAGAATTGGATTGAGCCTCCCCCTTGTCTCTATAATTGACCATCTGCTCAAGGATGTTTTTTGGTACAAGTAATTGCTAATTGTTTCTTGAATTTTTGTGCGGCAAGTTAAGGCTGCCATACTACGTGTTGGAGATTCTTGTTTATGCTTTAACTATGAAACAAGTAATTTTGTATGATCGGTTTATCAATTGAATTGTACATCTACATGTAGTCCTGTACTCTGTTTCCAATACATCCACACTATATCATTTATGTTCTCTTAATATTTTGATTTTAGAATTTGTTGGTAGAATTTTGAAGCACCTCTTACTAAATCTTTTAGGACGCATGGGAGGACGTTGATCCAGATGAACTATCATATGAGGTAAATTTTTCAGTGGCATCATGGTTACTTTTGTTCGGGCATATCTTACATTGAGTTCATTGGTTGACTTGGCGATTCAGGAATTGCTTGCGCTGGGTGAAGTTGTTGGAACAGAGAGCAGGGGTCTTCCTGCTGATACAATTGCCTCTCTGCCTTCAGTTAATTATAAATCACAAAACATTCAGGACGGAAGCAGTGATACGTTAGTACACATTGGCTAGTTTTTAATTATATATACTATTTCATTTTTGTATTTTATTTAACTCCCCCGCCCCTATGTGGATATCGAATTGCTGACAACATTTTACCCTTGGGCCTCAGCTGTGTTGTATGTAGGTTGGATTACGAGGATGGTGACACCTTGACTCTGCTTTCCTGCAAACATTCTTACCATCCTGAATGCATAAATAATTGGTTAAGAATAAACAAGGTATGTTCTGTGTTCTTTAATTCTAAGATTCAGAAGCACATGATTTACTCTGGGGATTTGCGATTCATTTGTGCTTCATGAAAATTCTGTTAGAAAAATAAAACGAGATGAAAAAAGAGGATTACAAGGAAAAAGAGCCAAATTTTTGTTTTGCCTAGAGTAATTTAATATTCTATGACAGTTATTTTGCTTGATATATTTTGAACTCCTGATGATGTATTTTTCATGGTGAATGAATCCATGTTGCTTTCTTAACATTGATTGGAAATTGATGTGTATGTTCACATTGTATACTGTTTTAGTATTTTAGTCTGGTCACACTTGATTTGCCTTTGCAGTTGGCATGTGCCCCTATTGTGATTTCATCAAAGTCTCAATTGAGACACTAAATTTAATTTATCTCAACTTGGTCACTGAACTTGTTTTTAGTTTTAAATATCATCACTCGCAAACATTCCACTCTCAAACTGACGGAAATTGCTTAGGTGGCAGCCAGACCACGATGAATCATTACGTAACTGTTTCATGGCGTGCCAACTCAACACTAGGCCACGTCTGAAAGTATCAAAATGAAATAAAATAAAATAAAATGTGCCTTTTAACATTTTATTTTGACAATTTATTGAGTGGACTATTAATGAGTTGGCATGTCACCTAGCGATTATGTGGAAGGTACGTGGTCTTGCTGCCTACTAAGCAATTTCCATTAGTTGTTGGGGGTGGGGGGGTTTAGTGAGTGGCTGCAGATGGAATTAACCCACTGATAAAACATTTTGTTCTTGTACACGATAGAGTTGATGGATGCATAAATTCTGAATCGTTGCAGGTTTGTCCGGTATGCGGTGCTGAAGTTGTCTCTCCTTCGGGAAACAGCTAGCAGATTTCGTGGCTGGCCTATTAAGAAGCTGCAGATAAGTCTGCTTGAGATGGGCAGATAATGGATTGCAAATAATATTTGATGGCATGAAAGACTGTATTATCAGGCTTTTTATTTTCTGCCTCAATATTATTGTCCACGTTTTATTTTAATTTGCTTTCATAATATCTATTCTCATTTCTATACAGTAATTATTGAATTTGCCCCTGCATTGAAAAGCCTAATTATTTACTTTCAAGATATCATGGAAATGTTTTGACTAAGGATGGTGTATGGAAAAAGAATTCGTCTCGGTTTGGTTAGATAAAAATTAGATTTTTAGTAAATTTTGATAAAAGTTGTGAGTTCCATGAAATGTGTGATTTATGTCACTTACCCAAATTAAGTTTTTTTGTTTGTTCTCCTTTGTGGGCAAAAAAGCTTGGTTGATTACCGAACTTTCAAAAGTTGTCACTTTAGGCATTGGAATTTTATTTTTTTTATTATGATGATCAATGAATTTATGAAGTTTTAATTTAGTCACGATGTAGTATCGAACGACAAGGCATTATGTGGCACAATGATAACAAGGTCATGGACCAAAAAAATTAATATCTTAAGCTGCGTTGAGTGAATAAGTTGATGGTTTGAAGATGAAAAGTTTAAAACGTTCATTTGAACCTTTATGCAAATAGGCCAATGCTTTATTTGTGGAGTTAATTTCACCAAACATCATTGAAGTATGTACGAAATTTCAAATTTGATTACTGAAAATATTTTTGTTACCTTATTGGTCACTCAAGTTGTTAACAATTTCATAATTGATAATTTGGTTACTAAAAATCTGACGTGGCATCCATTAAGGCCCCCAAGATGTACCGTTTGGATTTAATGTGTGTGAACATCCTTTCAAAACTTGAGATATTACCCTCGAGATAAATTTTGGGGTAAAGGAAGCCGCCACGTCCTTCAATGACAAAATAACTGTTCGCTGTGCATGCGTACATGTAGCAGTAAATTTGAAATAAACAATAAGGATACTAGCGCGGAATTAACCATGAGAAACAACCAGCCATCCAAGCAACCGAGTACGAACAATGCAGGTGCAAGGTAACAAGAAAATGTAATTCGTTTTTCCACACGCAAGTCACAAGATGAAGCCAACTAGCAGTACAAACTATCAAGTATTGGAACTGAATTGCTGACAATTTTATCCAAGTGGTAGTCAGGTCAAGTTGTCGTCATCACATGCACTGGTCCTTGACCGATACTGGCGACCTGGTTTCTGCGAGCTGCTACCTTTATCATTTGCTATATATGGCTCGTCTTCTTCCATTGCACTGACTTCACTTTCTTTGGCATCTTCTTCTGCAACACCAATGGGCAATCCCCTTTTCTTACCACTGTCTCCCACAGACTCGTTCCTTATTTTCACCATTAAGTCATCTTCTGGCTTCTTTTTTGGAGTGAAAACTATTGATTTTGGGATGTCAGCACAAGTGTCATCCTCCGATGAGCTCTCAGTGTTTCCCTTCCTCAACCGATGAAAAAACTCCATATACGCCTTTCGATTGGATTGCTCATCCGTGTCTTCAGATGAATCAAAAGTATATCGTGTGTACTTTGAAGGGTTCCTTAGATAGTCTGGAACACCAGATGAATATTGCGAAAGATCAGATGCTTCTTGTGGTGCTGCAAAATCATCCCTTGATCGTGGCCCTGACACCAAATCACTGGCTCCTGAAGATTGTTGTTCCTCGTGATTCTGAGTACTGCCTTTGGAGTTCAACTGGAAGCGGACGCGCTTCCCAGACTTCGAGTCTACATGACTTCTCCTTTTCAGAATAGATTTTGGATTATAACCATCGAGTTCTACTTGGTTAAGATCTTCAGTCTCCACATCCAGGGCCACAGAGTTATCAGCAAATTGTAAGGAATCAATATTCCCAGCTGCCTCTGCATCTTCTTTCAGCCTAAGTTTAGCAGCCATGTGATTTGCACGCGAATCTCTAACAACATCCTGGAATGTGTTCGGAAGCTCACCATAAGCGTTAGGTCTCTCAAATCCGTAATCAGCAACTTTCACGTCCCTCATATATAGGCGGTCACCAGCCTCTTCTCTACAAACAGCCACTTTGTCATATTCATCTTCTTCTTCCTGCATAAACCAACCCAAGAATGGATGTAAGTAAACTTCAACCTGGAAAAAGAAAAAGGAAAATATACACATTTTATACTCTTAACCAAGTGATAATTACAAATTATGCCTTGCGCAGATGTCCAATGAATAAAATCATTTTTGCAATTCATGTTTGCAGCCACCAAGATATGATCGTCTCTCGCCAACCATACATACACGTTTGATCTCCTCCATAGTGTCAACCAAATTACAAAACTTTTGCCTTCTTAAAGAAGAGTGCAGGCGCACATTAAACACTTGTAAAGCTTAGTAGTTTGTGTTGCTCAAATGTCTAGTCAGGTGCTATTTACAACAAAAGAACTTGACCCACATATACATACCCAAAAAATTATAAAAAATGGAGAAAAATAAAGAAGAACCAAAATAAATCAGCATGAAGACCAGAAAATAAAAGTAAAACATGTCGCCATCTTCATGATTGGTAGAATGTACCTAAATCTAATAAAATTTTAACAAAAACTTGGTGCATGTTTGGCAAAGCTTAAATTATAATCTAAGCCAGTAAAGAAGGGAATGGCAGCATCAGAACCTTGAAGATACAAAGCTAAGCTGGCAGGGAAGAGCTTCACTCAACAGGCTGGAATAGATTTTTCATATATCTTCTCACCAGTGGTTAAAATACAAAACCATCAAGAGTCATACTTGCTCTAGTGGTTGAATTTGACTGGCAACTAGAACGGATGGATGATTGCTGAAAAGTGCACACACTTATTTAGAATGTCAAAACATGGATATTTGTTGATACTTGGATTGAATTATAGCTGAATTTGTTGTTTATTGCGTGTTTTAGGTTTACATCGATGAATACAATAGAATTGGAGAAAAGGAACAAGAAATGGGTTAAGTGAAGCAAAAAGAGAAGCTGGAGATTAAAATGCAAATAATCATAAGTTGGATTGGAGCGAGAAATGAAAAGTCGTGAATGCAAAGACCCAATTGGACAAGAAAAGAAGCGAAAGGATTAGAGAGAACTGAAGAAGGAAGAAAAAAAGCTCGAGGAAAGTTCAGGGGCAAAGTTGTAATTTGGCCCCTAAAGGAGCACCAGGGCGCGCCCTCACCCCTTCAGACCAAGGCAGCTCACCTGAGGCTGCCTAAAACCCTGAGGCGTAGATTGCACTAGGCGCATGCTTCACTATTAAACGGGGAAAAATCCAAGTTTCCTTATTTCGTTTTGTTAATAATTTTTTTTTTTTAATAAGTAATCACGTAATTTTATAAAAAACTCAAA